TACATCTCTTTCTCCTGATCGCCCCAATTTTAACCCACAAGCAGCAAAATGAGTAAGAAACTGACATCACTGGAAAGTTTGAGAGGGTGCTCGCTGCAGAGCCATTTAAGGAGAGGTGAGCTCCAGAGAGGGGGAGCATGAGCTGTCGCTCCTCCTCCTGTAAGCTGTTTTAATGCGTACACCAACCCCACCCCTAACCCTACCCCCAGTGACATCACTCGTAGAAGAAGTGCAAAAAAGGTGGAGCTCAAGCTTAAGCTCCCCCTCTCTGGAGCTCACCTCTCCTCAAATGGCTCTGCAGCGAGCACCACTTGGAAAGTTTCTTTGCTAAGGGGAAAAGACCCAGTGAAGGACCTGTGAACTGCCAAGGAATGGATCCGCAACCCATTTGTCAACAAATCAGGTGTATCCACTGGGGCCGTTCGCATTTTGCATCTTTTAGAGTTTGCGCAAGTATGTTTTTTCCAATGGATGGTGCGCACAAGTAACGTGACGTACTCGCGCCTTCCAGACGAGAAGTCTACTTGTTATCATGCTATTTTATAACTGTAACAAGATGCAATTCAGCCATAACTTTAAAACAGATATCATAACATTATTTATCAATATGTGGCTCTTTTTGGATTCTCAGATTTAGAAATTAAATATGTAAAACAGGAAATACGTTGGGACCATTGTTTTTGTTTACATCCCTTAATATGGTCTATATTTCTAACCTGTGGAAAGTACTGAACCATACAGTTAAATAAGGTATATTAATACAAATATTTAATTTGGATAAATATCAAATCAAGTTTGATTACAGTAAATTATTCTTACTATTAACAATTAATATTTAGTAGTTTAATTATTATTATTATTGTTATTATTATTATTATTATTATTATTATTATTATTAATAATAATAATAATAATAATATAAATGCAATTTCCCATAAATAAATGTAATAATAATAATAGATGATAATGATGATAAAATTAAAAATATAATTAATCTTATATAATTTCTCAGTCTCTGTTAAATGAAAAAAAGCTATTTTTATTATCAGTAAATTGTATTTGGTCTACTGAAAATGTATATTTACATTAATGCTACAACATTTAGATTTTTTTTTATCTTTTTTTGCAGAACGTTTAAAATAATAATAATAATTTATGAGAGAGCACATTACGTCTGTTACTTATCTCTTAACCTGAGCTAAAGCTGAAGTGAAAGAAGAGGATCAGAGGGTGGAAATCAAATAGGATGTATGATAACCCACATTTATTTCCTTTGAATCCGTGCATCTGTCAGTTCAAAGGCTCTCATCCACATTTGATAACCCAGTTCACACCTACCTCATATCGTGTGCCCTTTACGGCTCAATACAAAAGACACACGCGGTGCAGAAATAACGGATGTGGAATAACCCCACTCTATCCAGGTATAACACAAGACCCCAAAAATCAACTCCTTTCTTCTTACAATTACAGCTTACAGCCTTTCGGTTTAATTGGACATCCCTTAGTTCGACAAAAGTGTGTGATTGTAGTACAACGCACCAAGTGTCAGAATCAGGAGTCACTGATCTGAGCCCTGAGTCTTATGTCTGCATGCCAGGATCAAAGCGAGAACCTCTTATTAATCAACCACGAAGCCATGCCTGTTATCTGCAGCAGGAATGCCAATCAAAATGTCTCGTTGAGACTCAAGAAAAAAAAAAAAGTGTCACGTTTTAAGGGTTATTTGAGGTCTCACAATCCCGTTTTTTTTTCCAGAGAGGAACTCATCATTCCTAGTCCCTCATGCAGATGAAGGAGAACAAGCGTATCTGTGCAATTCTCGGCATGTGGGTTAAATTTGATGCAGTTAGCAGAGAATAGGCAGATGTTCCCTGCATGACCCAAAGAGCATGACATGGCCTGTGCAGCACTTCCTGACCCTGCTGCCAATCCTAAATGTTCATGAATGGAAAGCACAGACCATATGAAAAATAGGAAGAAAATTATCTCAGGATTGTGTTGTTTTTTCCATAAGCTTGATCTATATACTCAGATTTTTAAAAATGATATCTCAGAATTGCTAGTGTTTTATACAGGTTTCTTGTTTGCTTTTGCAATGATTATAAAATTGAGATGCTCAATGGAGATGGTCATAAGGATTTATGCTGTCATATTTGGCTAACAGGACATTTGGCATAAAAAATGCCATACAAAAACTAACATGGATCCATCCTGCCTTGTATCAATTGTTCAAGGTTCTGGACACTTAGTGCCTTAAGTACTAACTGAACAACAGTTTAAATGCCATGGTATGGCTGGGCTATATGACAAAAATCTCACATCATGATACAAGTGTCATGTTTTTCAAAATGTTTTGAAACATTTTGTTGAGCGTTTTGTCAATCGCGCAAAATGCTCAACTCGCGCCGCTTCATTCGCGTGTAACGTGCTGCAGGATGTTTATTCGAGTCTTTGCATTGACTTAACATGTAAATCAATCATGCATCTTTCGCGTCTGGTGTGAACGCAGCATAAGACTTTTTAAGACCCTGCGGATACCCTGACTAAAGTAAGGAGCGGGAAGTGAACATGAAAGGACGGTTAAAAATGCATGTTTTTCAAGTTTCATGATACAAGATTCAAATCTCATTTCCTGATAACAATATAGATCATGATATAGTACAATTTCTGTCCATTAAATCAGTTTATAGTTGAAGTCAGAATTATTAGCCCCCTTTGATTTTTTTTTTTCCTTTTTTAAATATTTCCCAAACAATGTTTAACAGAGCAAGGACATTGTCACAGTATGTCTGATAATATTTTTTCTTCAAGAGAAAGTTTTATTTGCTTTATTCCGGCTAGAATAAAAGAGGTTTTTTATTTTTTATGAACCATTTTAAGGTAAAAAAATATATATTAGCCCCTAATTTTTTCCCGATACAGAACAAACCCTCGTTACACAATAACTTGCCTAATTACCCTTACCAGCCTAGTTAACCTAATTAACCTAGTTAAGTCTTTAAATGTCACTTTAAGTCGTAAAGAAGTGTCTTGAAAAATATCTAGTCAAATAATATTTACTGTCATCATGGCAAAGATAAAATAAATCCGTTATTAGAAATGAGTTATTAAAACGATTATGATTAGAAATATGTAGATAAAATCTTCTCTATTAAACAGAAATTGGTGAAAAAAATAAACAGTGTCTAATAATTCTGACTTCAGCTGTATATACAGTATAGCACAGGTGTCAAAGCCAATTCTTGGAGGGTTGCAGCCCTGCACAGTTTAGTTCCAACCCTAATTAAACACACTAATGCTGCGGTCATACTAGAGTCTGTGTGTGGGAAATTCTGTTGTACAGCGCTGCGAAAAGGGGTTAAATTAAACAAGATGATTAGACATTAAAAAAGCAAGCAATTGGTCAATGTTATAAATTTCTGTAAAGAGAGGTCATGTTTTGATCTTTGATTGATCTCACATAATCATGTGATGCGATTTCACGGGTCAGAGTTCACCAAACTTGAACTTTCCAATGCAGTGAACTGCAAAACTTGATAAAAGTGCAGTGTGACTGCAGCTTTACCTGTAGTTTTTAAACAAGCCTGAAGGAATCAATAAGTTTGATCAGGTGTGTTTAATTAGGGTTGTAACTGAACTGTGCAGAGTTGCGCCCCTCCAGATACTGGCTTTGAAACCTGTGCAGTACAGTATATCGACCAATGCATGTAAATCACTATTTATTTTTTACATTTTAAAGTATGTACTCATCATTCATATGTGATCATATTTTTCACTTTGTTCAGAACTTCAGGGCAATTTTTTGATAAAAAAATACAGAAACATAAAATAATTATTAATAAAATATAAAACACTTTTCTTTCCATTCCTTGCCAGTTCACAGGTCCTTCACTGGGTCTTTTCCCCTTAGCAAGGAAACGTTCCAGTGATGTCAACTAATGATTACAGTTCCAACATAAAAACGTAAAACAACACTAAATAAAATGCAAAATGTAAACATTGTACTTTCAAAAATGTGACGCTTAAGATGCCGTTATTCACGATTCTATCTGCATCTGCGTAATGGGCTAAAATATTGCGTTTATATAAATTATGAAAAATATTACCGTAAAACAATGTATTTTGTAACACGACAAAATAAACAATAGAACATAATGTGAAGTGCTCAGCATATATGAGTATACCCCCTCACAAATCTATAATTTAAATACATATTTTTAATAGGAAGCTATACAATATTATATTTGTGCAGATACATTAGTTAGTTCTGAAGACAAACTTGGAGCTAAAGAATTAACTTATGATAACAGTTTAAAAACTAGTACACCCAAATTTATATGTTGTTGAAAAATATTAAATCACATGAAGCAAAAAAGTAGAAAGATTTTGTTTCAAATTTAACATTTTGTAGGTTGTAATTTATTTTTTTGCAATATTTTGCTTGAATTAATTGTATTTTCTTACAATTTCTAAATATGCTTGATGAGTAAATGATTATTTTAATAAATGTATCTGTTTATGTTAATATGTAATATTAACATATTTTAATATTTTAATTAACATATATTAATATTTACATATTTTATGTTAAAAACTTAAAATATGTAAGTTTTTATTAAATGCACCAAAATACATTGCCAAAATTCACTGAGAAATGGATAAAAATATTCATTTTCAAAATGGGGTGTACTCAATTATGCTGAGCACTGTATATATATTTCCGACCATGTTCAGTAGATTATGACCAACGTGTGCCCATTTTGTGATGTGTGATGGCTACTTCCAGCATGTCACAAAGCTGAACAAATAAATCAACTGGCTTCTCAGAATATGCCAATGCATTCATTATTCTTAATTGGTCTCTATGCAACCTGATCTGATGGTTTAAATGGTTCAAGATAAAAAAGTACTCAATACACAATCTAAATTTGACAATATTTATAAATTTAATACACTGAAATCATTTTTTTTTAAAGTAGTAAACAAGGTGACTTTACCATTTCCACCCACATGCCCGAATCCTCCTCTGGCCCCCATAAGATCATGGTCTTGTCCATTGAGGCAGAAAGCAGTTTTAGGGACTGTTCCACTGAGTCACCTGCAGGGGGAGACAACAAGTAACAAGAGCGGCTGGCTAAATAAAATAAAAAATTTATTTTTAAATTTGACATGACATATAAAGTCAATTTCAAATCAAATGACAGAGACATGAAAAACCACACTTGGCTCTTTCTCACTAATTAATATCACAAAATAAAACCCCAATGAAATACCTTTAACAGATGGAGGTTGCCAGTGAATTCCATAAACCCAATTTTCATGGCCAGCCAACACAGTTTCAAGAGTGACAGCAAATTCTAGAGAAGAAATATGACAACAGAGTATTGACAATAATTCATTGTATGTCTCTGTTTATCATCAAGAGGCATATCATTATCTATAGATATTCTTCTTCACTTAAGAATCTAGTCTAGCCAAAGTCAATTTAAACTTTCTGGCAAGTTCAATTTCAGACTGATTACAATGCCATGCATACGCGGTCCTTGATTTTGAGTTTCTATACACATGGCTTCACAACTAATAAACTCAACAATAGCCAATTTCTAAGTCATCACACAACTAAATTACAATCAGTGCAAAAACTCCAGTCTTACCCTCTCCAGACACTTGAAAGATGTTCTCCTTCATTTTGATAATGCCGTCAGTCTGAAGGTCTGGTTCAGCGGCTGTCTTGGCAAACAGTCTCCACACTCTGATCAGACAGTCTTGTGAACAGCTGGCGAGCCACAGCTCTCCATCTACACATTCAGCAGTTCAAAAAGAAAGTAGCATGTGAGGCTTTCCACTTGTTTACTTCAGCTACAGTGCCCAGGCAGCAGTCAGCATTATAAAAGAACAAGAGAGCAAAAACAACAATAGTGGCTTTTCAGGATGGTGTTTATTTATCCATGGACTATTTTCACCGCAGTTACTGCAAGATACACATTATATTCAGCTATTTTTCAACTTATGTAATAGAAGCTTCAGGTGTCCCCAGAATGTGTCTAGTGAATTTTCAACTCAAAATGTTTCAGAGATCATTTATCACATTATGCGGCATTATAAATGCAAGTAAAAATATTTTTAAGTATTTCTTTAACCTTACTGTCATGTTCAGGTTAAATCTGACTGATTTACAACTTTAACACATTCCTAAAAGTTGTGTTTTACATCTGATTGCCTCAAGGCCTTGTATCTTTCACACTAGTCACTTGAACATACAGTATAAAAGTGATGATCTATTTTTTATTAAATTTAGAGTGTTTTAGTCAACCTTGTTACACCTATGGTGTTCCTGGTCAAAAGAGACCACCATAGGAAATGATTAGATATCCAGACTATTTTCCGCCATCAGACAGAAAACATCTCTGTATACTGTACGCCAGTGGTTCCCAATTTTTTTTTTTTTTTTTTTTTCGCCTGAGACGCCCTTTTCCCCCAGAAAAATATTTTAAGGCCCTTGTAAGGTGACATTTAAGTAAGGTGATCATATAAGTTTGCAGTAAGAATGACAAAAAAATGTTGTTTTCAGAAAATCCTATTCCTAAAGGATATAGTTCTCTAATTTCACAGTCCAATTAAAAAAAATGCTTACATTTTATTTACTCTAAATGCAATTTTCCTACACGTATTTATCCCATTCAAAAGGTCTTACCTTTATTGGCCCACTCCACACCTCGGACCCAATCCTCATGTCCAGTCAGAGTCAGAACCCTCTGAAACTAAACAAACCCACATGAGACATACAACATGATAGATTTTACAGCATACAGTCAAACCAAGCGTTACTCAGACATTAGATATCATTTTTTTTAACAGGTGTTTATTTCAGTTTTACATTATTTAATAATGACCAAACACAACAACAACAAAACACATAAATTAGCCATAATAATACAAAAAAAAATAATGGTAATAATAAAAATTTATTAAAAATTAAAATGTAAAAAATTAAACTATTTTCAAAACAAAACAATTAGGGCAAGTAAACGGTTTCAATGTAAATACAAAGAGCCAGACAAAAAGGGGCAGCAAACATAAAAGCACTACACTGTTGCTCCGAATCCACATTATATTCGTCCAGTTGATTAAGAAATGGTTAACCTATATTGTAAAACTTATCAAGGTTCCCAATAACTGCATACCAGACTCTTTCCATGTGCAATATTTGAGTGATATAAGTTAACCATGTCTTAAATTGAGGAATTAAATCTGATTTTCACAGTTTTAGCATGACACTCTTAGCAGCAATCAGTAATGCTTAGTATGACCACATTAGATATCATTTTTCTTTTCTTTTTTTCTACCGGGTGTAGTATAGCAAAATAAAGTCAACTGTAACATATTACACCCTAAAAATCTTCATTATTAGTGGGCTAAAAGCCAAAATGAACTAGCGAATCTGGGAAAATATTGAAGTTCTGGTTGACATCAGCATCTACAGGCTGTCCCTGAGGCTCAGGATGAATAAACAAAGAGTTGATAGTTGTGTAAATATTGTCATTCTAACATTTGACTGAATTATTTGGGTGGATTGTGATGCATTACACACTGCGCAACTTATCTGCAAAAAACGTCTCATTCTTATAACTACATATTCTGAGTGCTTATCATAATTTATAACTACTTTCCAAACTTTAGTGAATAACGTGTGAGGTGAGAAATCATATGTATTTGTAATCCATTATATGTGGTGCAATTCAATCAAAGTTATATATCATTTTCATGATAAATATGTTCTGATATGTTAACTGTATTTAAAACATAAATACACAAAGTGTTACCATTATATTAAAATATCTGTTTATTTTTTCCAAAACCACAGGTGAGTTACGCGATCAGAAAAATATCAATATGTAAACATTTTTTATATATTGAATGAGGAAAATAAACTTACGTTAAAAATGTGATCAAAATAAGTATGCATGAGTTTACAGTATACAATATACTTTAAATAAATTATGTGAATTAAGCTGCATAACCTAAAATAAATAATGCTAAATGATAAGAGTTGGCTCTCTATTAGTGTTGGGCGATGTCAACCAACTTGGCATCGTACAATGTCTAATGTGAAACATTGGGTTGGACGATGGCATCATCGTAGACGGCGGTGAACTAATGATTTATGAATAATTAATTAATTCAGAACAAATTAATTATTTGTTGCCTAATGTTTCAACTACCTGCATGGTCCTCCAAATCATATATAAATAAAGATCAGTTACACACAAATTACCACCTGTCAATCACTTTTTCCACGGGACCTGGGACTCGATGACGACAAACTTGGTTGGTAAAAAAGTTGCACAACCAACAGTATCTGAGATTTTCACTAAAATTACAAAGTACAAAGCGTGAAAGTGAAAGATTGAAGCAGTGTACTGACACTGTGACACGTTACCTGACAGATTCAAAAGACCGAAGAGTCTTCAGATAGAGACAAGATTAATTAAATATCACGTTTAACAACTATAGTGAGATGCGATCCAGCAGTACAACCTTGATAAACTGTCTGACGTGCACTCAAAGATATAAACACTAGATATCGCATAGGGACCGTGAGCATGCGTCAATAGCGCCGCCACATTGGTACAGTTCTCCCAAGACAAATGTCATTCAATCGCACTAGACAAGGCAGTGTTATTAAGTGAAGATGCGGGACTTTAGCGCTGTCTACGGGTGTAATAACGAGCAAACAAAGAAAACAAAGCAAAAAGGCGGAACATTTCATCGGTAAGAGTCAGTTTTTTACGTTTTTGTATGTTCTGAATTTTTGTGCTAAACAAGAGTGTTATTGATGATAACAGTCACTTACTGCATTCACTATAAGTCAAATTAGCTCCAACTCACACTAAATACTCGACTTATGCTAGTTTTGTTGAATAAAATCAGCAAACACTGCAAAATAAATGACAACGAGATGCTGCAGTGCCAGAAACTTGTATTATTGTCGGCTAAGTGAACGAGTCGTTCATAACGGAGATTCATTCACAAACGAGTCGCTCCCTCCGTCAGTATGAAAAGTGAAAGCAGGAGAGGAGGTGTGTTTCAGGACATGGATTAAATCAAATTTGACAGGGAGGGTGGATAGTACATTTCCATACACACAAACACAAGATTTTTGTCAGGAATGCCAGTGCGATCACTGATCCATCAATGCAGAAAACTGATGTAAAATGATAATTTTCGTAATTAAAAAAAATAAAATTGCATACTAACATCCAGGAAAACTCCCGATCATAGATACATGTGTATATGTGTATATCTCTGGCTTTGGATGGCCACAGTCCTCCACTGTACCTTGGTCCCGCATTCATTTCAATGGAGCGCTACCCTGTAGTAAAATGGCGGCTCTATTGACGCAATTCTTCCAATAGACAATAACAGGGTAGGCGACATCTAACGTATATATCTATGACGTGCACTGCTCTCTGTGGTGACTGCTGGAGCTCAGAGTCAGACACTCACATAGCCTGCATTGCAGTATATGACAGAGTGTGTTTGAGTATGTGTGTGGTCACGTCATGTGCGTTTTCAGCGATATAGTGTGGAACGATGGCTTTTCAGAAATGCTATGTTAAATGCCAGTGTGAACATGGATCAATTTCCTTCTAAAATGCCATTTTAAATTTAAGACGTGTTAGTGTAAACGGGGCTGAATGTTTTTCGCGAGCGCTTCCTGCTGTGACGGGGCAGGGCAGGTATAATTGTTTAAAAACATTGACAAATACATTTTTAAATATTTTTGCGGTGCTGTAATATACAAGCCTACAAAAAAAAAAACTTAGAAAGGGTTTCGCTATTTTGCTTAAATCAAATTATTTTCTCATTGCAATGTTAACATTTGCATGGAATTGCTCATATACTTATAATATATTCATGTTTTCAGTTCTTGTCATATTTTATCACAATTTTCTAAACTATAATGAGGTGAGAAATGTTACAGGTCTCTGAAAAATTTATTTTCGATTGTAAATATAAAGCAAAGCCAGATAAGAGTCTCTCACCTGTCCACTGAGCTGCACATACAGATGAACTCTGCTATCATCTCCCCCACAGGCCAATACGGGAACTGCAAGAGACGGAAATATTCTCCTCACTCACACGGAAAAAAGGGACCAAGTCTATTCCCGGCTCCCAGACGCAAAATACAGCTACAGTCCAGACGTGAATAATGTAACAGGCAGGCTACCGTCACCCCAGGACATATTTAAAGCACAGAATGAGATTTGAACATGTGGGAGATGGACAATACAGCAAATCAACATGAAGCAGAGGGTGCCTCAGCTTACCTCTGCTGCCTGGCAACAGCGCCAAGGAGACATCCATCATGAACCCGCTCCCGAAAGCTACGGTCTGTAGGCATTCGGCTAATGAAGAGCACAGAAAACACCACGCATTAGAACCAACCTGTCCAGCTTGTGACGCATTCTTATTGCGAAATAACAAAAAAAAAAAAAAAAAAAAAACACTTATTATTTTAAAGCAGGCTATTGTTGATAGGTGAATATTGAAATATTAGACCAATTATCAAACCGGGGAAAACCTAGAATCTTTATTTGGTAAAAATAAAAAATAAAATGTGTTGAAAAGCAGGTGGGTTCTGCATGAGGGCAGACAGCTCATTAGATAACTGTCATTTGAATGTTGGAGGAATGATGCAATTCGTCATCTTTTTGTGACTCAAATGTGTCAAAACAAAAAAGAAATGTCGCATTTTTCCCAACGTTTTCACACAACACATACAGTACACTCTGCAAAGAATTTAACCTGCACTTCTTCACATCTTTTTGAGCCCGAAAAGATCCATAAAACTGTATTCATAAAATGATTTTGTAGGGGAATAAACTTTGTCTATGCTTTAAAAGAAATGTAGAAATTTATTGAGGCACTGTTAAAAACATTTTTTTATTAAAAATAAATAAATAAATTTGAAGTTATACAAATTTCAAAAACTTTAAAGTCATTTTAGCCTTTTTGTTGTCACTTCTGGGAATATTTTTTTAATAAAAATGTATACCTGCACCTATTGACAAACTAATCCTTCATAAAAGATGGATGACTTTTATCCATACTGAATGTAAAAGCTTATGTAAGTCAAATTAATTTTGTTTGAAAACTTATAAAATTATTTTAGAAAATGAATTATATACGTTTAATTAATGAAGTTGCAAATCAGATACAAACTGGTTTAAGTTCAATATTAAGTTACACAGGGTCAAATGGAATGAATTAATTTTGCAAGGTTCATAGAAATATTATTAATTCATTCATTTTCTTTTTCGGCTTAGTCCCTATTAATTAGGATGCCCTTCCAGCCGCAACCCATCACTGGGAAACACCCATACACACTCATTCACACACATACACTATGGCTAATTTAGTTTACTCAATTCACCTACAGCGCATGTCCTTGGACTTGCGGTGGAAACCAGAGCACCTGGAGGAAACCTACGCCATCATGGAGAGAACATGCAAACTCCACACAAAATGCCAACTGAAACTGTCAAGGCTCGAACCAGCGACCTTCTGTGCCCCTCCGTCACCCATAGAAATATTAATCCGCTTCAACACAATAAGCAAAGACAGCAGAATAAAAAAAGCTGTAGGATCAATTAAGCAATGCTTGTGCTTTCTTAATTCTTCAGAGATATATTTAAAATTATATTTGAAGTTGAGACATTATAAACCACATGATGAAGAATGTTCATCTCCTCTTTACAAATAAATGTGACTTGTCTAAAAATAGTCAAGGACATAATATTATATATAAAATAAATCTAATATTAATAATATATAATACAAATAAATAAATAACAATCATGATAAATAAAATTCAAAAGTGCAGAGTTGGCAGTTTTGTTATTTTTGTTGGTGTTCGGCTCACCAAAAAAAGGCTATGTTTATTAATGTGTGAAATAATCCTTTAACATGCAATTTATTGTTATGCAAAGATGAACATTCCTTTAGAAATAATTCTGATATTCTGAAAGAAACATTTCTTATTTCATCCTCAATGTTAAAAACATAAGGGAGGAAGGCTAAACACTGTCACCTCACAGCATCAAGGTAGCTGGTTTAAGTCCTGACTCGGCCAGTTATCATTTCTGTGTAAAGTTTGCATGTTCTTCCTTGTTCGTGTGAGTTTCCTGTGGGTGCAGTAGTTTCGCCCACAGAACAAAGACATGCGGTACATGTGCATTGGATTAACTAAATTGGTCATACTCTATGGGTATGTGTGTGTGTGTTTTCCAGTTCAACTAGAAGGGCATCTGCTGTGTAAAACATACGCCAGAATAATTGGCGTTTTATTCCGCTGTGGCGACCTCTGAGACTAAGCCAAAAGAAAATGAATGAATGTTAAAACATTGCTTAATAATCTGTGGAAACCAAACAGCATTTATTTTGGAAAAAAAAATCTTAAAATTAAAAACATTTTAAACATGAAGCATCCTTTCATCTTTTGAGAAAGCGTCTCGATCAAAATGTAACTTCTTATCTCTCCCAAATGTTTGTACTAGAGTACATCACATTTGTCATTCTATTCTTTTTGGATTCTAAAATCCAAGACAACAAATATAATGACTTTGAACTGCATGATCGAAACCAAAATTTCAAGAGCAATCATTTACAACAACCAACCAGCAGATGTCAGCCTTAGCAAATCTACAGTCTTCAAACACTTATTAAGTGCTTTAAAACTATCCTCTTTTGATAAACCAAGTGAGTTTTCCGTAACTTACCTGCATCAGAGCTGTATGTCCACAGTTTAACAGTGGAGTCGGATGATGCTGAGGCCACCAGTAAATGAGAGGAGGAAAGAGACACTGCATCCACTGCACACACTGGCCCTGAATGTCCTGAACACACTGCGCATGCTCTGAACTACAACAAAAAATAAACTCAATATAATCGCAGATCAAATTAAGACTTTTTTTTTCCTAATTTGACATTTTTCCCAGGATATAAATTAAAAACACTGCAATAAAAAGAAAACATTTAATTACAACTGTAGTGATAATAATATCATCATTAAAGTTCATCTTAATGTGATTTGTTGCAACTGGGTATTATAAATGATTATAGATGAAAAGTGATGCTGAAATCTTGGTACATGTTTTACAAAAAAAATTGCAACTCACATAAAAGTATTTATGTAGAATCCACATTTATTTTCATGTTAATGTAAAATCCATTGGTAAAAGCTGATTTAATATAAATGTTCGTTGTATAAAAATGTACATGATAAATAAAAAAACAAGTTTTGCTTGTCATCATTATGGTCTTTACTTTAGGTAAACACTCACCTTCCCATCCAGCTTCTCCCAAACAATAACATTATTATCTGACCCACCAGATATCAGCTGGTTCTCTGGACCTACAGATACACAGGGTTCATGCTTATTAAAAAACAATAACAACAAACTCACTATAGTTTTGCTACAATAAACTGTTTAAACGTGGTATTAGCAAAACTACAGTTTTTTATGACAATCATTGTGATAAAACAATACCACACATTTTTCATTGAGGTAAAATTGTTTTTTATTCGCACATTGGGACTTTCTGCCTAATAATATAATCTCGGTCGGAATAGTATTCTTTCCAATTTCTAAAGAGGGAAATCATATTTTCAGCTAATGGCTATCAAAATACTACATTGTTTGATCAATTAAATAGTCCTCGTGTTGTGGTCGTACATTCAAAGTTGCGTGGTAAACAATATAAGAGGGCATGTCACAAGTTGTCAGTGAGCTGATGTGCGAATATAAAACCAACTTTACCCTAATACTTTATTAATGTCCTCACAACTCTTAAACTGTAACAGATAGATTTTGACAATTATTCAAGACGTTTAAAAACTTACTGCAGTCTGGTTCATGGACCCACTGGACGGCGTTCACCCTTCCAGTATGTTTATTCAGCAGATCGACAACTCTTATTTCCTGATGACAATTCATAAAAAACATCAGCTCGAGACAAACCTGTCATACTAACACAGTCACCTGTCACTCATACATGACAGTTGACCATACATAAAACGTATTAACTATACAACTACCTAATCAAAATATCAAAATCTGTTCTCAAAAACATCGGTTTGGGTTTTAAGCTTGCACATACATGTATTAAAGAATCGGAAAGTGCAAATAAAAAAGAATACTTATAGTGTGAGTTAAATTACATGCCAGCATCACAAACAAAGCGAGTTAAATAATCACACAATCAGTACCTCTGGATTATAAATGGCAACTGAATTACATGTCCCAAACGCGATGAGCCCTCCTCTGCCCCAGGACACAACATTAGGAGCACGGTTTGCACAACAGGAGACATGACATGTGTCCATTACTGGCGCTGCCATCTTCAACGCTGCTATGTGTTACACTTAAAACGAACCGGAAGAATGTGCCACGATTGTAGTTCCGGAAAAAAAGTGTTAATAGTAGATTCCTCTGATATTACGGTTTGATTTAGCTCGAATAACACGTTATATACATTTATTATCGGAAAAAGGGAACGTGGTTGATATAGATATATAAAAAGCTCCATGCAATTCCAGTTTAGTGTAAGCGGAAGCTGGCGGACTGTTTTTGTGTAGCCTAATTTTCAGTCCGGTTTCAAACAACGCTGCCTGAATTCCAACAGTCTGTGTTTGGGTTTTCTGTGGTTTCATTTCGACATAATCGCTGTTTTAAGTGGATATAGACATGGAAGACAAAGAAGAAAAGAAAGCTCCATCAGTAATCGATCGTTATTTCACTCGCTGGTACAGAACTGGTAATATGAGCTAGTCAAATCTATTTTTCTTCTGTTTTCAGTTCATTTTACCCCAATGCTCACTGGGATTAGTATTCCTAATATAAAACAGTTTTGTTTATATATTTAATATATGCGTTATACGTTTGTAATTTTAAGTAAATCGTGAATTTTAAATGCGTATGTTAACGTTACTGTAGATCTGAAAGGAAAGCCATGTGAGGATCACTGCATTCTACAGCACTCTAACAGGTAGATATAAATGCATTCATTTTCTTTTCGGCTTAGTTCCTTTATTAATCTGGGGTCACCACAGCGGAATGAACCGCCAACTTATACAGCATATGTTTTTACGCAGCGGATGCCCTTCCAGCTGCAACCCATCTCTGGGAAACATCCATACACACTCATACACTATGGACAATTTAGCCTACCCAATTCACCTGTACCACCTCTTTGGACTGTGGGGGAAACCCATGCAAACGCAGGGAGAACATGCAAACTCCACACAGAAACGCCAACTGACCCAGCTGAGGCTCGAACCAGCGACCTTCTTGCTGTGAGATGACAGCACTACCTGCTGCGCTACTGCGTCGCCCTAGATTTTATTTATGTATTTTTTTTCAATTATGTACTCGCATATATTTTAATTTAAACTACAGCGTGTTTTACTGTACAACGTTATAACACTCGTAGAATTGTTTGTGGGGTTTTTCTATAAATATTTCCATACATTTTTACTCTGTACATAAATACAAACCTTCAACTTTAATCTTTAAAAAATATTAGCAGCTTTGCCTTCAATATGTTTTGTTGTATGTAAAATAAAAATTACTCATACTTTTCTATTTAATTGCTGCTGCACAGTTTTATAATCAAATTAAAGTAAATGCATAAGATTAGATGTAGTTTAGGGTATCCGCAGGGTCTTAAAAAGTCTTAAAACAGTGTGTCTGTGGGGTCTTAAAAAGTCTTAAAACAGGGTGTCCGCGGGGTCTTAAAAGGTATTAAAAGTGAATATTATATATATTATACTTTTATCTCAGATGCGATTAATTGTTTGACACCACTAATTATTTGTAAACTCACCTTTGCAGTGTCCTTATTTTCTTCTTATCAGGATATGCGTAATCACACTCGCAGAGTCTCATCCCATATTTCAGAATGGACGTAAAATTAAAAACATCAACTACCAGATCAGTGACGGATGCAGCCGTCTGAAGAACAAGGTTTCTGGAAAGTCAAAGCGAGTAAGGGCCATGCTTTCAATGATTTTCACACTGTTTACACGCACAATCAATACACTAATGGTTGTGATTAATTACTTCTGCATCTTTATTTACGCTTTCCTTGAACATTGAACACTATCAACAGCATTGTTTATTCTGCAGGGTGGTCAGTTTCTGACAGAGTTTGCCCCTCTATGTAGAATCACATGTACAGATGAACAGGAGTTCACCATATTCAGGTCAGTCTCATGTAGACACAACTTCTGAATTCTCTCATCTCAAATAAACTTGTCAGTTCACCGTATGGCAAAGTACCATTTGAACTTTTCATCTATAACATTTCCATTAAATACTAGTGTTTGTTCATTACACATTAGTATAGGTATAAGGTAGTATCTATAGTACTTTGCAAACATTCCTATTCACCTTATTCCTTGCCGATGAGTGGGTGCTGCCATTTGAATCTTTTTGGCTCAAGACTTCTGGTCTCATTCACTCTATTCATTTTTAGACATTAAAAGCTGCTCGTTTCGCAGTTTGATGTTGCAAACTGATATTTCCTTATTATATTACTCTACTTGGTTTATATAGTCATGTAAACATTTGTTTGTAGAGCAAGTAGTTTGACCGTTTTCTGCCGTTTATTATTCCTAGTCATTTCACCCATAGGCGACTGAATCGGAAGTTCTAAAACAATCGCGAAAACAGGCGCACTTCTGCATTTTAGAATAAGGTCAATACATCACTAGTAAGCATTCATTAAATACTAGTACTTGTTTATTAGATATTAGTGTGCATTTAATAGAGACTAGTAGTTATAAATTAGATACTAGTACACATTTATTACACCGGTAGTAAAACAATTCTTATCTTGCTTTGTCAGATCTGCTTCCTTAACTTGTTTTATGATTTGGCTGAATGGCCACAGTAGAGTTCAATAAAAAAAATGTACTAATAAAATACACATTTTTTACTAGTGATGTAGAACTAGTTTGTAATAAACTGATACTAATCACCAGGTACTAATATGTAACAAATGTGTACTAGTATCTATTTAATAGATCAAAGTACCAAATGAATAAGTACTAGTATCTGATAAATATGAAATAATGTATTTTATGTAATGAATAAATACTAGTATCTATTTAATAGGTAAGAGTATTTAATGGTACTAGTATGTGATAATTAGGCACTAATGTCTAATGATAGGAAATAGTATTTAAAACAAATTGTTGTAGCTAATGAATTAATAAAAATGATGAATTATATACAGTAGTTAAAACTGAATAGTCGATCTCTCAATTACAGATTCCCATAGAATCAATGCAAATAAATTTAAATGTGTTACTAGTAACAATAGAATCCAGTTGTAAAAGCAATAAATAATAATTTGACTTCTAGTTGATCATTTGGAAAGTGGCAAAAGGTAGATTTTCCACCAATCATCAGAAATACTGCAGCAGACCTATTGGAACCCGCATGGACCCAAGATTCTTACATAAATCTGTCAAGTTTGGTGAAGGAAAAATCATGGTTTGGGGTTACATTCAGTGTGGGAGAGATCTGCAGAGTGGATGGCAACATCAACAGCCTGAGGTATCAAGACATTTGTGCTGCCCATTACATTACAAACCACAGGAGAAGGCAAATTCTTTAGCAGGATAGAGCTGCTTCTCATACTTCAGCCTCCACATTAAAGTTCCTGACAGCAAAGAAGGTCAAGGTGCTCCAGGATCGGCCAGCCCAGTCACCAGATATGAACATTATTGAGAGCATGTCTGGGGTAAGATGAAAGAGGAGGCATTAAAGATGAACCCAAAGATTTTTGATGAACTCTGGGAGTCCTGCAAGAAAACTTTCTTTGCCATTTTAGATGACTTTATAAAGTTATTTGAGTCATTGCAGAGATGCTTGCATTTTCCACTGCAGCATGACTTTATATTCTATACTGAACATTATCTCTGTTAGGTGACATGACTTTTGTCTAAGCAAAGTCAGATCTTACTGTCCTAATTAAATAATTAAAAATCAAGGCATGATCATATTTTATTTAGGTAAAATAAGCAAATCTAGAGGCCTTTGCCTTTCAAATAAGCCACTTCTGACACTAAATGCTCAACAAGAAGTCAAGTTATTATTTGTTGTTCCTTAAACTTGAATGGGTGACAAGACTTTTGTCAGGTAGTGTATAGTCATCAACACACTTGTTTGCAAAGGAAGTAGTTTGACCGTTTTTACCGTTTATTATTTCTAGTAATAGGCAACTAAATCTAATGTTCTAAAACACTTCAGAGTGCATTGCAGGATTAGATTCCCTTATATTCACGCTTATATTTCCACAGCTGTATCAGAGGACGACTTCTAGAAGTCAATGAAGTCATTCTAAACAAGCCAGATCTGTTAATGGAAAAGGTGATCATCTTAATGCATCATAACTTTCAGTACAACTCAAAAAAATGTCGATCTTATTTTCAAATCTAAGAACTTTCTGACTTTTTTTTCTACCCAGCCTTCCACAGAGGGATACATTGCTGTAATATTACCTAAATTTGAAGAGAGTAAGAGTGTCACAGAGGGTCTTCTGACCAGAGAACAATATGAGGAGATACTTACCAAAAGAAACCAACAAGAAGTGCCTTGCTGAAATCAACCTGCTGAGACTCTTCTGAAGAATAATGGCGTCAAGCAGGTGAAAACATCATGTCTGTGAACTTTTGAATCCCCAAAAAATTAAGAGAATGATGACTTGAAGTAATTAAGACTTGTCTGCTGGATCCAGAACATGTTTCGTTGGGCTGCTATTCATGAGATGCATAGAGATGACCAGCTTTGTTTGGTTTTTTAGGGTTTATTTCGTTGCATTAACAAATGTTTTCAGTTTTAAGAAAATCGACATGTCTGTAACCAAACAGACACATTATTTGCCTTCTGCAGGTCATTATAGTTTCAGCTAATGCTAAATAAAGGGCATCTTTCCATTCAGCAGGCCTTTGTGTGTTCATATGCTTTGTCTTATACGTTTACATTTATTGTAACACAAAAAAAGGACACACACCAAATAAATGTACAGTAGTGGCCAAAAGGGATGTCTGGCCAGTAAAACTCATATTTGGCTCTTTATTCAGACATATTGATGTTATGTTGATTTTATAAGGATATCTCGAAGTAGTATTTAGGCTTGTATCTGCTCTGCGTTTCATTTGAGACAACGTATTGAGCAAACATTTGGTGAGAAATATGCTGGAGACTTTTAGAATAGTAATAATTAGCTCAGTGATAGTAAATAGAAACAAAAGAAAAAATGAATTCAATGTTATAAGTTACAAATAAAGCATGGCTATGATTCAAATAGTGTAAACAAACTAGTAAATCATGGCTACTGTTTACAAAAATGAGCAAACAAATTCTTAACTTATGGCCACGATTAATCCAGACCTAGTAAATTAGGGTGTAAACACAACCGATTTACAAAAACAAAGGAACATTTTTTGTGGCCACTAGAGAACATAAAAAACATGTTCAAAGACATATATAAAAAAAAAGATGACTTTAGTTAAGGTAAATGTCATATATGAGCAATATCACATGAGTAGCAGTGCTATATGGCTGTATATCGGCACTGGTGGGAGGCGTGTGCTGGCTCGAGGCCACAGGCCGAGTTCCTTAGTGACCCACTAGTGATTATATACAGCCATATCGCACTGCTGCAAGTGTAATATTGCATTTATACAACAGTTTGACGTAGGGCTGGGCGATATGGCCAAAATGCAATCTGGATAATTATTTTCCATAAGGAACTTTAACGATATATATTTCAAAATCAGTTGTTAATGCTTCCAGATTTAGGAGTACCCCAACAATAACTGACAATGTTAAGCCATTTAATGGAATAACGTTTTCAGCCAATAATTTTTCGTTGGCCAAAGATTCAGTACAGCTCTAATATCAACACATTTTTAGATTCCCATTGTTGCACATTTCTGGTGTAAATAAGCAGCTGTAAGATCAATATAGAGTAAAACAGTCCAGAGCCTATCATTGTTATTGACAAATTTTATCACTTCAAAATAATAGCGTTTATCGGCTCAGGCCTAGTTCGACAGCATAACCAATAAATAAAAAAAATCAAACACAGTCTCAAAAATCCTTTTGTGAGAGGAACTACTTTTTTTCTCCCATTTCTTCACATCTGCAGCTGACATCAGAACAGCAGAAAGCATTGCTAATTTTCCAACGTCACTTTAGAACTAGCATTTGAATTTTCTAGTGTAATGTCTAAAATGATGTCAAAACAGGTGATTTTGTTGACATTTTAAGATTAAGAACGGCATGAAATGCCATCAGTCTACAGAGATTTCACCGGTATTTCTCGGTTGCAATTGGAATATCACAATAATTAACCCTAAAATAGTCAAAGCAAACACTACCAGATTACTATGGTATAAATGTAGCATTACAACATACAAAAGCAAGAGATAGACTTAGAATGTCTCTTACCTGTTCTGTAATGATTTGTTAAGCTGTAGTTTAAAGCAAAAGCTGTTTTTCTCTATTAAGGAATTATTATGCAGTCTCTGTCGCCATCTTGTGGCGGAATGTCAACAGCCTTTTCTCCTTTGCAGTTTTGCAGGCTGACCGCCGACACACTAAATCTCTCCAAATCCAAAATATTTAAAGTAGGCACTATCCTTTTAAATAAACTGCATAGTTGCAATCTAAATAACTACATTCTCAACTAAAAAAGCCTCAAAAGTACATGATGTTGTCCAACAGCTGCTATATTTGTCTGCAATAACTGTAGTCCTCTGCTTGCCACTCATGTAGGCGGAATAATACAAAAGGGTGAAGAGGCTGTACACTTGCTGATATTACTTTAACATCTCCCGGCTCTCAGTATATCAGATTCAAGAACCAGACAGAACTGCTGTATAAGCATAAATAAATCACACAGTCAGTAATATTTTAAGAAAAATAACGTATATTTAGACTTTGTTTTCTGATTTAACAATCATTCAAATGGTCCAACACTAATACAATGGGAAGTCATAGCTGCACAATCATCTCTAAAGCTTATGGTTTATTAATCAGAGAAACAGGATCAACTAGAATTAATGTGTGAATGGAAACCCATTGCTGAAGAGCCTTTTTATCTGCGTCCTACTAAAATGTTGCTCTTCGATGCACTACAGCCTAAACTATTGATTGACTGTACATACCGTCTTCACTCTAACCTTTTAGGTTAATGTACCAAAGTCTTACATTGTTAGGACAGAAGTAAAAATACAAATCACAGTGACCTACAAGGCAGTCAATACTATTACAAGGCTGTCGCTCCTATGACAATACACTTATTTAGAAAGTTTCCCAAAAATGACACTTCGCATTGTTTCAAACCTGTATGGTCTTCAGCATTGACTCTTATGGTGTGGAGAAAAAAAAAAAAGTTTTTAAAATATCGTCTTTTGTGTTTGTCAGAATAAATACAGACCTGGAACAACATGAGTGTGAATAAATTATTAGGTAAACTCTCTCTTTAACGGAACACTCTACTTTTTTGGGGAGTAGGCCAATTTTATTAGTCTCCTAGAGGAAAACAGTTGGGTTTACCACTTTTTAATCCATTAAGCCAATCTCTGGTCTAGCTGGGGTACTTTTAGCTTAGCATAAATAATTGAATCGGATTAGACCATTAGCATCATGCTCAAATTTTTCCATAAATAAGCTTGATTCTAATGTAGTTACTTTATGTACAAAAAACTTTCTTGATTATGACATCATAATGGGAGTATAGTTCCTAGCCATATCGGAATAGAAATCAGGAACTTTTCATTTTCCATTGGTCTTCGTACATGATGTAATTACATTAGAATAAAGCTTTAAATAGAAAAATGACCAAAACTCTTTCCTGACATTTTTGAGCAAGATGCTAATGGTCTAATCCGATTCAATAATTTATGCTAAGCTAAGCTAAACGTGTTTCTGCCAGACCTGAAATCCTAGCCGTATCGGACTAGAAAGTGGCAATTTTTCATCTTCCATTGGTCTTAGCACAAGATACAGAAGAGTCTAACTTTAAATAGAAAAATTATCAAAACTCTTTCTTGACGTTTTTAACCAAGATGCTAGCGGTCTAATCTGATTGAATGTTTTATGCTAAGCTAAGTGCTCCCGCCAGACCTGAAGATCAGCTGAATGGATAAAAAAAATGGTAAAACTCAATGGTTTAACTCTAGGTTACTTCTTTTACCTTAGCATAAATAATTGAATTGGATTATACCATTAGCATCTTGCTCAAATATGTCAAAAAAGTTTTAATAATTTTATGTACGGAGACCATCGAAAAAGTTTTTTGATTATGACATCATAATGAGAGTATAGTTCCGGCTAAGCTAAGCTAAAAGTGCTCCCACTAAACCTGAAGATCGGTTGAATGGATTAAAAAATGGTAAAACTCAACAGTTTAACTCTAGGTGACTTCTTTTAGCTTAGCATAAAAAATTTAATCAGATTAGACCATTAGCGTCTTGCTCAAATATGTAAAAAAAAAAAGTTTAGATAATTTTATCTAATTAAATTTAAGAATAAAAATCTAATTCTAAATCTAATAAAATCTAAATAAGATAAAAATCTAATTTTATCTATTTTATTTAAAGCTTGAAGCTAATGTAGTTAAGTCATTTAATAAGACCAACAGAAAAGTGTCTTGATTATGACATCATAATGAGAGTAATATTACTAGCCGTATCAGAATAGAAATAAGCAACTTTCTAGAACTTTCCGTATCTAGAAATACGAGAAAGTGGCAACTTTTCATCTTTCATTGGTTTTATGCAAGATCCAGAAGAGTCAAGCTTTAAATAGAAAAATTATTAAAACGCTTTCTTGACATCTTTGAGCAAGATGCTAACGGTCTAATCCAATTCAATGATTTATGCTAAGCTAAGCTAAAATTTCTCCAGTTGAATGGATTCAAAAATGATAAAACTCAACTGATTAACTCTAGGGGACTTAAAATGAGTCTTTTTTAAAAAGGAGTGTCCTTTAAAAGAAACCGCCTTTTTCATGAACATCCTTCAGAAATTCCTTTTTAGAAAACAACATATCTTCCTGTAAACTCTCAAACGGAACATCAAGATGCCTATTTTCTCATCATAGTATCCAAAAAATACCGGATTTGTGTCTTACAGTCTTAAGCGACTGCCCTTGTATTGAGATCAGTGTAGGAAGATGATTAAAACTGGACATATTTGGCATCAACTTGTACATGAGGCAGTTATGTTAAATACAGTGTGCAGAGTGTTTTGTTTTTTTGCATTAAAACTTATCATGTACACCTCAACGTTGGCTAATCACGAAAAACATTGTTGAATATTGTTTCGGTTAAAACCGTAGCTTATTTACCAGCCATTAAACTCGAAATAATGACTTGAACACATGCAATAAAGTTTTGTTTTGCTTTTTCTTCGATATATCTCTTTTTTTGGTATTTGGAATGAGGCTGGCAATGCTAACGCTACCGTACACCACAAAGCGAATGGGCAGAAGCACAAAGAATGGCACGTTGTGAGCGAGTGCACCGCCATGCACTTTGTGTACAAGAACAGACAGGAGCGCCTTTGGTTTTGGGAGTTATTTGCTCTCCAGGAATGTGAGATTGGCCATGTGCTGCTCCAGGGATTTGACCCCAAATCCGTTGGAGCCTTTGCCGTTGAGAGTTTCCTCGCTGACGGGCGCGCTCAACTGTTTCTCCCTCCAGTGCTGGGGTGAAGCCAGGCAGCTGCGCTCTGACTTACACTGCAATTAAAGGTAGAACATGGAAATAAATGCAAACAGTGGTGGACAAAGCACACAAATCAAGCACCTAAGGTAAAGTTCAGTAAAAGTATAAAGTCCTCGCTGTTAATTGTACACAAGTTAAAGTGTTAAATGTACTCATTGATGATATTTATTTTGCAAGAAAAGTTTTAGAAAAAAATTGATTAACAACGTATACATTAAAAACGTACTGATAATTAATGACAAATCAAGTGTTTAAACAATATAGCTATACAATAAGTGAATACGTGTACGATAAGTGAATATAACAACTTATTTTACAGTTTGTTGAAATTCTTGATTCTGATTGGCTGGAAGGTGTGCAATAAAATCGTTGGATGCTAACTTCATCTTGAAAACTATTTCAAGAGTTCCCACTTAGATATGCTTGGAATTTATGGCTGGTTTGGCATGCTGTCCCGGGAGAGAACCCTGAGCTCGGAGATATTTAAGCCCAGGGCTCCCGCCCGGTCAATAAGCATATCAGGGGATCAGAGATTAGGTAGGTCTCGATAGCTCCCCCTTTAGAAAGGGAAGAAAAAGGAGGAGATGGGGTGGAAGGGGGGATTCTTCCAAAACGAAGACGGAGCAAAAAGGAGAAAGTGATCTATTTATATTAAGCTAGGATCACTCTGATTGGATCATTACTGATTACGGATGAGTGGCCAGCAGTGCTCAATCATATCACATGCTCCTCTCGAAATTAGTTTATGAAACTTCCCTTTGTCATGGCACTTACATCGAGTCCCCCTTTTGTTGCAAATAATAGTACAAATGCGAGCGCGTCAAGTAAAAAGTAGTTTGCGGAGGCTCGAAATGCAAAGTATAAATCAGCCTTGAGAAGTCCTTCAAAAGGTGTGCTTGTGGCAGGCCCACAAAGATACTTTATTATTTACGTATTAAATCGCTCATTTATTGCAAACCGTTTGCGATATGCATGTCCTGATATGGACATTTGCGGTATTTTGATATATTGCACAGCCCTGGCATGAAGATAAATAAATGTGCAAACACAATGAAATGCACAATCAAAGCTGGAAAAAAATGGTATGAACCTACCAACCTTTCTGATGAGTTTATTACAGATGGGCAGTAAGTAGACCACCAATATCAAGATGCCTTTGGTATTCTGTATGGATGAGTCCACCTGAACG